GGAAGACAGAGAATAAAGTTTAAAACAGATTCGTGACATATATTTGACCTTAAATAATAATTTAAATAATTAGATATTTAATAAATATTTAAGATAATTTGTAACTGAAGAGTATAAAATTTGGTAAAATTATAAATTTTACTAGATTTATTATAAAATTGGAATACTAAAAATTAATTTTACATTAAATAAAATTATAATTAAAATACTAATATCTTACTATTAAGAAAATCAATTCTACTATTCTTAGAATTAAATAATTTTTTTAGAAAAAAAGTTATTTAAAGAATAAAAAATACTATTTAACCTAGCAGCATTCCAATATTATTAAATAAATACTCTTCAACTACAATTTATCTTTAGATTTTAAAATATATTTATATAAAAATTAATAATTAAATTTACTACCCATCTGATATAAGTGAAATATTATTTAGTTTTTTAAGTTTATTTTCTAAATTTTTACATTCTTGAGAATAAGCATCATCCAAAATATTTATTTGCCAATTGTTGATAGCTTACTAAATTGTAAGAAGGACGAAGTATATTTATAAAATCAATCCAATATAGATTTTTAATTGCAGAGAAAGGAATAGCAGCTGAGTAAAAAAATTTGGCTAGTTTTTGATCCAAAATAACTTTGTCATTTTGAAACATATTATCCAAAAAATTAGTTATAGGTTGACAACACATTTATCTTGATTGGATAGTATTCTCTATTGTAGTAGAATTAGGTCATATAGGTGCACTATTTCGATGAGCTTTACTAGTAATTAAGTTTGTTGATTCATGAAGTTTATAAAGAAAAGAATTATATTTATTCAAATGCTCTTTCAACTGATCAACTAAGTCTACAACATCCTTATTGCAATATTTGCATATTTGGCAAGGAGTTGAAAGACTATTAACATTTGTATTATTCCCTTCTGCAGGATAAAAATAATCAGTACAAATATTAGAAGAAGGACGACCATGAGATATTAAAATGATTTATAGTAAAAAAACTTTAATTAAGCTATTGCTAGTCATAGTTGTGCTTTTTATTAGTCAAATTTTTTGTCTTTTATAAATTTTATTACATTTAATCTAATCTATTTTATATCTAAGAAGAATCTATTTTACATCTAAGAAGAATCTATTTTACATCTAAGAAAAATCTATTTTACATCTAAAAAGAATCTATTTTATATCTAAGAAGAATACAAAAAAAGTATTTCATTTAATTTCTATTTTTTTTTCCATTCTAATTTTCTGATTATTAATTTTTTTGATTGTTTACATGCTTTAGTAGTTTTCTACAGCCCTTACTTTTTTAAGTAGTATTAATTTTTTTTTCTTTTATATACAACTATAAATTTTAATTATTTT